GGGCGGCAGGGCAGCCAGCGGCGGGCAGGGGCAAGGTGAGAGGTGAAGAAAGGGAGGTGCGCAGGAGGAGTGAGTGTGGCATGCGCCTGCTCTTCAAGCAGCTGGCTAGCACACAAGGCCAGCACCAGCGCAGCAGGGAGAGGAGGGCAGCATGGTGGAAGCCAGGCGGTGGGCTGCTGCGCCTTCTGCGCCTTCTGCGCCTGCTGCGCCTGTGTCACCCACCCGGTACCGGCAAAAACCCCTCCACCTCCTCCGCCGGCAGCCCCTCCAGGATGGGACCCAGGCTGACCCCCGGCGGCAGCAGCGGCGACTCCAGCACCAAAAAGTCGTACCTGCACGGCAGGCAGGGGAGTGAAGCGTGGTGGGGGGGCGGCAGTAGGGGGCACGCACGCCCGGGAAGCCAGGCAACCCAAGGGAAGCGTGCGGGACGCAGGCAGGCAGTTGCCGGCGCGCAGCAGCGCCACCCAGCCCCCTCACATCTTGCGCAGGCTCTTGCGCCCCAGCGGCGAGTCGAAGTTGAGCTCCGAGAGGTCGAGGCCGCTGGCGGCGCGGCGGTCGCCGCGCGTCAGGGCGCCCAGGCTCTGCAGCCGGCGCGCCACCGCCGCCGCAAAGCGACGCTCGCCGCCTGCGTGCGTCGGGGGTCGCAGCAGCAGCGGGGGGCATGTGGGGCGGGGCCGCGGCGTGGCAGACAGCATGCAACAGCCGCCGCCGCCGCCCTCTCATCGCCTGTTTGATACGCGGCGCCCCCTGGTGCGCCCCTCTCTGCCCCGCCGTCCAGCTGGTCCGGTCCGCCGGCACGCCCCCGGCCTGCCCGCCTTGCCTCACCCACAGACGTGAAGACCAGTTTATAGATGGGTGCGGAGGCCTGGTTGGAGCGGTGGGAGCGGCCCAGCTGCTGGATAGCCTTGTCTGCCGACCAGGGCAGCTCTATGGTTAGGTGCACCCGCCGCCGCTGGTTCCTGGAGGCCGCCGAGGCGTGCAGCGAGATGCCGGTGGAGGCGGCGTCGCTGACGATGGCTACCAGCTTGCGCCCCTGCGGCCGGGCGGGGCGCTCCGAGTGGGGGCGGGCAGGCCGCAGGCAGGGTGAGGAGAGGCAGAGGCGCTGCGCTGCGCCGACTCCCTCGCGCCAGCACCCCTCCTCCCACCACCACCACCGTTAAAGTGAAGGTGCCAGCGACCACCCCTCCGCGCCTCCTACCTGGGTGCCCCCTCCCTCCCCTCCCTGCATTAGGAGGCCAACCCCGATGCAGGCACCTTACGCCACACACCCTCTCCCTCCTGCATCCCCCCATCCTCCCCGCCACCACCACCATCTCCCGCCCACCTCCCCCCACCCCCCACCCACCTCCATGAACTCCTGCTTCTCCCGTATGTTCAGGCTGTCCATCTCGCTGCTGTCCGGCCTGGCGCGCAGCGTGTACACGCCCCGCCCCCGCCCATCCCGCACCACCCGCGCCTTGCGCCCCGTCATCTCCGCCACGCGCTGAGGGCCGCCCAGCTCGTCCACCAGCTGAGGTGGCAGCAGCAGCAGCAGGGAAGGGAGGTGCTTGCTGAGGAAGGGGAGAGGGTGAGCTGGGGGATGGCGGCGGCGAGCGGGGGACGGTGGTTTGGGTTTGTGTGTGAGGGCGCGTGTGCGGCGTGCAGGGCATGTCAGGCACTACCAACCCGCCCCCTTTGCACGGCACACAGGGCTGTGCTGCTGACCTGGTCCAAGAAGTTTGGGGGCAGGTCCAGGGCCGCTATGCGCTCCAGCATGCCGGCCTTGAGCTCCACGCTGGTGGGATCCTCCTCGCCCGCCCGCTGCGCCGCCGCCGCCGCCGCCGACTGCTGCCGCCCCGACGGCGGGCCGCTGCCGCCCTGCCCGCCCTCCTCCCAGCCCCCCTGCTCCTGCTGCTGCTGCTGCTGCTGCTCCTCCAGGGCCAGCGTGGTGGGGAAGTGCTGCTCCACAAAGTTGAGGAGCAGCTGGCGGGTGGTGGAGATGAACCCGCACACGTCGCCCGGCTGCAGGCTGAGCGCGTCCGCCGCCGCCTCGCCCGTGCTTTGCAGGCCGATGACCACTGCGCCATGCAAGGCGGGGGGGTGGGAGGGGAGGAGGGGGCGGCAGGTGAGGGGAGGGCGACGGCTTCAGACAGCGCTGCTTGCTACCCCAGGGCAGACAGTCAGCTCTGGCCAGGGCCCCTCACGTGCTCCGCAGGCACCTGGGCCCCAGCCCCCACCTGCAAACCCCGCCTCCAGTGCCGCCTTGGCCTCCCTCACCACCGCACCAACCTTCATGCTGACGCCTGAGGGCAGCGGGCAGGGGAGGGGGCGTCAGCCACGCATGGCAGACCCGTCAATGGTGACCAGCGCACCGGGGACCCAGCTGCCCACCGCAGTGTCCAAGGCAGGGCGCCCGCTCACAGAGCAGCTTGAAGAAGCGCTGCTGCGCCGCCCAGAACGGCTTCCACACATCCTTGTCGCTGCACGTGGCTGCAGTGCGGGCGGGGACGAAACAGGCGCAAGGCCGGGGCAAGGTGACGCTGGGATGCCTCAAGCGTGCCCCGCCGCATCCAACCTGGCCCCTCGGCATGCCTGCCAGTCGTCAACCCTAACAGCACCCTGCCCTCACCCGCCACGGCCTGCACCAGCGCGTGGCGCAGGTCCTGCCACAGCCGCGCCGCCGCATCGTACGCCTCCACCTGCTGGCTGCTCAGCCTGCACTCCAGCTCAATAAACTCGGCCTCCCTGCACGGCTCCACAGCAGCAAGGCAAGGGGAGCAGGGAGGCCGCCTTGAGGCCGAGCGCTCAGAGGGGCAGCGTTCGGAACGGCCGCGTGCGCTGCCCGCAGGCCTGCTGCCAGCTGCCCCACGCCGCACCTGAAGGACAGGCCACGGCTGACGTACAGGCCGTCCCCCTTGAGCTCCATGGAAAGCAGCTCCAGGAAGGTGATGCCCCGCCGCTTCATGCTGTCCAGAAAGGCCTGCACGGGGTGGTGAGCGGCGAGGGCGCTGGCACGCCTCGGTCCGCGGCAAGCATGCATGCACAGCACGCTCGGCGCGGCACCGAGGGCAGGGGCGCTGGGCATGCCAGCCGCCCTGTCTCGGGCCGGTGCCTGATACCGGCGGCTGACCTGGAAGGAGGGGAAGGCGGCGCCAGGGCCCCACAGACCCAGCCGCTGCATGTAGCCCAGGTTGCCCACCTCTGCGGGTTTCAGAAGCGACGGGCACAGGGCGCGAT